GGTTGGTCTATCATTTCTTTGGCAACCATAGCAGTAGTAGGATGAGTTATAATCCTTTCAAAACTCACCATAGAATAAGTAAAATTCACAATACTAAAAAACTCTAAACATATGAAGAAATAAATGCCAAGATTGAAATAACAACCCAAAAAATACCTCGAAAAGGGCCTAAAAATTGAGAATAAACAATCCAATCTATAAGAGAAGAGATTCCAACAACAAAGTTTTAGATCTGGAATAGATTTGAAAATCCAACTCCAAAAACCAAACAATGATAATAAAAGAAAAGAACTAGGAGCTTATTGCTCCAATACCATGTTGGAAACAGAAAAGAAGAAGAATAATTTGAAGAAAGGTTTATTGCTTTTTTGTTTTCATTGTATATACAAAGGTCCTATATATGGATCTATACAATAGAATATTCCTAGGTATAAAATCAATTAACTTAAATGTATATAATCAATTACAATGTGAATATAATATTTTAAAATAAATATTGATATTTTAACACTAAAAAAAGTGAGAAAAACCACACAACAACCTCAAAAGGAGCACTTTTATATACAATCTCCTTTAGCTGATTATTCCATATATGACTGGATACCTTTCAATTTATTCATGAGAACTAAATAGCACAATCCCTATTCACGCTGTAGCCAGAAATCTAGATATGAGACTTAAAGGTCTTTTTCTTCCTTTTCTTCTTCAACATCTTCACCTCAGATCCGTGGAAGTAACCAAAGGAAAAGAAAAGGAAACTGTACAAGAAACTGGTTTTGGAGGGATGGAAAGGAAGGGAGAAGATTTGGGTTTTCAGCAACTCAACCAAAAGACAAGAAAAGACAAAAGAGGAAAAAGGAAAAAAAACAAAGAAGGAAACTAGGAGAGAAACTAATTGCTCTTCATGTAAAAATAAACATCTCTACCAACGAGGGGTTGGATCAAGTGGCAAGCGGCTTGTTCCAGCTTAAACAAGGTCTCGAGTTCGAAACCTTGTATACGCAGCAGCCTTCGTTGGGAGACTCACCCACCATTCTGGTGCGCCACAACTGGTCGAGTCCGGAGTAGTCGGGGCGAAGCCCCGGATACTGGGCGGGAAACCAAAAAAAAATAATAATAAACACCTCTTTGGCCATTTCAAAAAATTGAACTTAGTAAATAAAGTGAGAATTGAGAAGCAAATTTCTTTACCAATTAAGTCATTATTATGTAAGTAAAACTCAAAAAATAAATATTATAAGAAAAATGATAAAAAGTTACAATTAGTTTTCTTATTTAAAAATTTTTCTTTGAAAAATTCTTTTAAAAAGAACTAAAAATAGAAAAATTAAAACCTTTTTGGCGTCCCCGAATATGTTACATAGATATAGGAAAAAGAAAAAGTGCATAGAAAAGCCAATATTTGGCAGGAAAATGGGCATTTTCAACCTTATTGAGATCAAGGTTTTATGCAAAAGAATCAATGATTTAAATGAACTAATTTTCTTTTCATCAACCAAATTTAAATGAACTAATAATAATTTTTTTAATGAAAATAAATAATTTAGATTCGAGTCATATATATATGTAGGTGAGATATGAATATAAGAATGAGATATGATTATCTTTTATTATATAATCTAAATTTTTTTTTTTAAAAAAAAAAACATTTTACATAAAAGAAAAGTGCTTATAGATGCAAACAAGATACAATCTTAACATATTAATTAGTTGTGGTTTTAAATTTTGGTAATGATTTAGGTGTTTTGTACTATAGACAAATTAATATACATTGATTCACGCATCACACTAGGTCAAAGGATTCAACCACTAATTTAATGTGACATTACACTGTGTAAAATATCATAAGAAAAACAGTGTAGCCTGAATCATTATGGTTTAAAATTTTGTTGTTGATGGGTTTTTTTCCGACCAAAATGGCTTTGATGGCCACATTACAAATCGAATCTTAGCTTCTTCTTCGCAATAAAGACACTATCAACATCACAACACCGAGTTTCTACTTGTAAAATCCATCTCTTAGGACCAGCACAGTCTGCCCTACTAATTATTAGTTTGGCCCATCAAATTCGATTTCATCTTCTTAATTCCTCGGTGCTACTACCGACTCTTTTTAATTTCCCTTTTCTTTTCTTTTTTAATATATATATATATATTTATAATTAATTCGCATTTGATTATGCAACATTATGCTCTTTTTCTGGATGCAAACGAAGATACATATGCACCCTCTCCCACTAACATCATCATACTTAAGTATCCCAGTAAAGTGTTTTTGGGATGCAAAAATTCAGGTTTTAATTCTCTAAATAAAATAGCTTGTGGGTGGCCAAAAAACAAGTGAAATAGCTCGTGTTATTTTCCATCATTTAGGTTGAAATATTATTTTATGGATTTGGTGCTTCCATTTCGCAACTCTAGGTTTTAATAGAAGCACCTAATGATATAGTTGAATCCCGTCATCCGAAGTATTCAAGGCAAAATACAACTTCATGCTTATCCTTCTTAACTAATATCATGCACTCATGTTTTAGGAGGTGTTTTCTCAAAAATCCCTGGCTGATCCTGTCATGTGAGTCTAGATTTAGGATGTGTCATTTGTTATGTCTAAAATACGAGAAAATAGAATTTTTTTTATGACCCGCTCCTCTTTAGCGGTCGACTTCCAAATAAGATAATTGAAAAAAATGTCTATCTATGAATTGTTTTATGCCTCGGACCATTTTGCAAGACAAAATATGTTGTTCTACAAAATGGGTTATTACTTACTTTAAACAACTTCAAGAATTTTAAAACCACAAAAATGTATAAAAAGGTTACAAATCCTAAAGTAAATACAATATTCTAAATAAATTAACTAAAAACAACATAGAAACAACAAGCACTTAAGGAAAATTTGCAGATAGATAATTGGATAAATTTACAAATATAATTACGCCTCAAATCCTACAGACTGTATGTAATGAATTCCAGAAATATAACTTCAAATTAATTCCAAGAATTAAGAACACCTCCAAACAAACCTAAAATCAATTAAACTACTTGAAGTTCTAGTGCCAAATTAAACTAGAACACAATCTAATTGCAAATTAATCTAAGATCTAGAAAATTAGAAACTAAATCATGCTTCAAAATTAAAAGAAAATAGTCCGAAGATGATGAATTTCACATGAACAAATGTATGGAGGAAGCAAACATTTAACCCAATCAAATAAATACTTTAAGAAGTAAAATCCACTTAAAATTACTAACCAAATTAAAAATGCAATCTTTGAAAATAAACGCAAGATTCAAACTAAAACTACAAACAAAGACAAGTCTTTGAACTCTAATATAGAAATCTATGTAGTAGGTAGGTTGGTTGATGAAATCTAAGAATCTAAAATTGTAGCACACTGGGCGATTTTTGAGAGGAGCAAGCCTACAAAAATCGAATTTCCTTCTCTGTTTTCCTTCTCTTCAATGCCAGAGCAATTGTTCCATGATTTTCAACCCCCTTTCCACCATGATCGGGTAGCGGCTACTCCACGCCTAATGGCATTTCTTCGGTCTAGCGGCTAAGAATTTGATTCCCCATTCAACACAAATAAACCCTAACATAACCTTCTCTTAAAAACACTCTAACTTTATAATTTGAATAAAACTCAATTAATTAAAGAAATATGCTTTATCCCTTGCCATGTGGCACCAACCCACCATCCACCTCTGTCTGAGCTGTAAATTTTATAGAGGCCCGCTCCAAATCAACACCTAAACTCGCCTACTTGGCAAAAATCTATCCAATGACTAGACCTAATTTTACACGTTGCATTCTTTCATTGATTTTTATTTTAGGTGTACACAGAGGGTAAGTTCTCATGAATTTAAACCGAGGCAAAATCAAGATAAAAAGTTAATATATCTTGATAATAAAAAAATAGGTATTTTATTCATTTGCCCTACCTCATCTTCTACCTTTGTCCTCAAAGATTTTCAAATTAAATTTTAGTGGGCATTTTATTCGTTTGCTCTCCAAGAACATTTTTGAATTGACTGGTCCCCTCAAGCCTCAAGAACTTTTGGCCTTTTCAAGAATTTTAGTCAAGTACGATACTTGGATAATCTATATTTCTAATAAAACCCTGTTACACCTAAAAAAAAAAAAAAAGATTAGCACATGCTTGTTAATTACCCACGTTGGCCAGGAATTGTTTTTGCATGGTTGGGAGTAATGAGCTGTAACGGTGGGTTGGCTATCAAAGATGGGAATGGTCCAGAGGCATGTGACACTGTGACAGGAAGGGGGAAGATACCGGCGCGGAGGCAGTCCGGGCGTGAGGTACAATGCAGGGATGCACATGCAAGCTCATGCACGCTTGGACCATAGCCTATATGTGTGGATTTACTGCCATTATTGTTCGTGGTCCTTCTAATTTAATGTAGTAACCATCTAAGTTTTTGTTTTTCTTTCGTTTTTCTTCAGGACCATTTTCCATTATAACAATTAAATGCTCCATTAGAATATTTGGCCTACGTCTAACCAATAAGAGCACTATTGTGTTAATGACCTAAACAATTAATTGGAGTCTTTTTACGTGAAGTAAAAGATTTTAGATTCAAGTGATGTGATATATAGGTAATATGGGTAAAAAACTGTGAAAAAGACACCCATAGTGCAATTTATTTTAAAAAAAAAAAAAAAACAAGAATTTAAATAAAATCTTGAATTTGAATCAATATTAAAAAAATAAATTTCTGTAATGTAATGCTTATAAAAAGGGATGGCTAATTGAAAAGTTCATTTAGCATATTTGCAATCCAGATGTGCTGGACCATAAAATCATGACATCAAAAGGGGAGGCTCAACCCTACATTCAAGGAATTTGACCTCATCTAGTAAACAATTTTGTAGTCTTGACACAGTTCGAATGCACAATACAGATCAAAACATTTTTATAAGAAGTTTGACAATCTTTTTGACCGATTTGTTGGAGCTTTTCAGGCCAAGTCCTTTTTAATTTTGAAGCATAAGGCAAAGAGCTTCGGTTTTTCTCTTCATGATTGGGTTATCAACCCTTCTCAATGTGCACTATTAGTGAAATTTTAGATGGTATGATCTTATTCGGCAATTTGACAGACGAACCCCAAATCCGCACCAAATAGAAGTACGGATATATCCGCCCTAAAAAAAAAAAAAGAGACAAATTGACCTTGTAAATCATCAATTGAAACAAATGATATATTATTTAATGGTTAATGTCATCGCATGTCAAGAATCCATCTACCGTCTAGGCCTGTCTTTAACTCAAAGTTGACATATGGTGACATCAACAGTTAAAGAATAAGTCATTTTAATTTGTCTCAATGAACAATTTAAAGAAGCAACTTTGTCACCATTTTTTTTTTTTGAAAGGCAAATATATCCTTACCCCTATTTAGGGCCAGATTTGTGGGTTCTGTCATTTGGATATGTAATATGACATTTTGAATAATTGATTTATAGCTAGGCTGAAGTGTTCTTTAAAGGGCAATGACATAAGAATAATTTTTTTGTATAACTTTTTTATATAACTTTCAGATATCATTAAATGAATAGATACACTCAAAATTATAGATCTCAATTAAATAAAAAGAACTAATCATTTAAATAATACATAAAATTATATAAAAATAGTACAAAAAATTTGTTCCTAAATTATTTTCATTCTATAAATTAATAAATTTCATTTGGTTGATAAAAAAGAAAAGTTTGACAAACAATGAATGAGATCAGTATTATTTTAACTCAACCTTACTACTACATCGACGGTTCGTTAGGTTAGAGGCAGATTTTACTTAAAAAATAGTTGAGAAAGTACCATAAGAAATATTGAAAATATTGTACAAAATGTTAATAAATTCTATAATGAAATTTGTTAGAACTTAGTTAATTTTTATGTGTTTGATAAAAGATTAACATAGAAAAAGTTAGTAAGAAAGTTATCACGTAGATCTTACATGGGGAAAGCTAAAGCCTTCAAAAAGTGTGGAAAAGTAAAGTTTTATTGGCTAGGAATTGCATTTGGAAAAATAAATACTAAAAATACTATTTTTATCCTATTTTTATTGTAATATTAAGATTTGAAAATACTCTCTTTGTTAATTTTAGTAAACTTAATTTAATACTTCGACTTTTAAAATATAAATTTTAAATAAAAATTTAACAATATACATGAATAACAATTAAAAATTTCTTTATCAAATAAAACTACTTAACAAAAACTATATATAGGGATAAAAAAATTTAATTATTATTCATATAAATTATTAAATTTTTATTCAAAATTCTAAAAGTTAAAATATTAAATTAAATTTATTAAAAATAACAAAAAATTTTCATATATAATCTGTCAAAAGAAAAACCCAGACAGGCCCGAAAGAAAGAAAGGGGTTACTAACAAAAACAATCATCGGAAGTGATGACCAAAAACATCCAAAAACAATTTATTTTGTAAATAGTACGATTAGGGGATGGAAAGTGGAATTGTCAAAAACTTAAATTTCGGATTTCTAAATATTACCACACTTTTTAAAGAAGTTGTGATCATTGGACCACAATAGTAGTTGGCAGAAAAAGGAAAATCTAAGAACAATTAATTCAAGATTCAGCTAGATATATAGAATGAAGAATTTGACATCTTATCAGAAACTGTGTTACAATGAATAATGATCAGAGCACTCCCAGGGCCATGTGCTGGTAATGTATAGCAAAAGTCATGACACTTGTCAAGGTTTAAATTTTTAAAAAAACAGTTGTAATTTTTTCTCTCTTTTCTAAAAATTTCCCTTGTTCCAAAAAAAGAAAAAAAAAAAGATTAGACCGTTTGGCAGGGCTAAACTTACACCAATTGGGTTCGTTAACTATTGACCCATTATCATTTGGAAACTTCAAAACAATAGAAAAATGATATATTTGTCAAAGCTTCATAAGGTTTTTAAATGAAATTTTATATTAATTAGCACCTACTTTGCAGCATATGTAGACGTCATGGGGCATAAGAAAATTACATTTTAAAGATAAGATAACTGATAAGAACAGTGAAAGAGAGTTATGATTATGGTCATTATTTAATTTATATATTAAGGTTATCAATAATTGTAAAATTTTTATTTTAACTTCATTGTTAAAAATAATTAATAATTAAAAAATAATTAATATTTGTTATTTAATAGATTAAAATTAATATATAAATAAATATTTTTAAACATCTTAATCAATTATTTTAAAAAATTATAAATTAATAAAATTATTGTTAAATTGGTGACAATAACCTCAGCTGTGAAATAGCCATAATCAAATGTTAAGATGAGAACAAGTCAAGACTTGAAAATGATTATGAGTTAAAAATGTAATTTTCTTGGGTCTAATGATATTTCCATGGCACACATGTAGTTGCTTACTTGAAATTCTGTTAAGAAAACTAACGAAACTTTAACAAATGAATCTCTTCTTCTATATACTCTTTGTTCTATAATAAGACATTTTTTTTATTTAAAATATGACCTAAATTAATTATCATTTTTTTATAGTTTTTAAAAAATATTTTTTAAATTTATCTTTGTTGTTATCTCTCGAATTTAATTTATTTATTTTTAAAAGTAATAAAAATATAAATATAAATTATTTTTAAATTTTTAATCTTAAAAAAAAAAGTCCATAACTATTATTGTGGAACAAAAAATGGTTGCACTTGTGAATTTTTCTACATTTATTGAGGAAATGCTTTATGTGGTGGGGGATGAGTTGTTTTATGCATGAGAATTGTAGGGAAGCATTTATTCAACACCTTGGCATGATAAAAAAACAACAGATATGCTAGAAGGTGATACGGTTTGCTATGCCATGGTCGATTTGGATTGCTAGCAATGAGTGGGTCTCCAATAAGAAGTGCAAGGAAGTGGATCGTGTTTTTTGAATTAGTGTAGATTCAGTCTTATAGGAGGATTAGCAACAGATTTTTTTTTTTTTCCTAACAGCAAAGGTTTAATATTTTGTTTAAAATTAGAGAATACAAAGAGTAATCCAAACCCGCTACATATCCAAACTCTCCTTTGTCAATAATCGGAGTTTGGACTTCAACCCTTCCCTGTAAAAACATCCGTCTCCAAGCCTGTGTCTATCCATGCCTTTGTGTCATGCAGACCTTTGGTTCCATTATTCAATCCGTGAGGGAGTATGCAACAAAATTGAAGGATGGACATACTCTTTTGAGGAGTGGTGCAAAAATATTCCTGGAATTGTGCATTACCAAGGAAGTAGGAAATAGCAACAGGAGGTGGAATTTTGTATGATTTTACCATACTTGAATTACTGTAATGTATATGGGTTTTAAATATCCCTTGTACTTAGTAAATAAGAATTTTTCCATTTTTCTTTTTCTTTTTAAAAAAAGAGTAGTTTTAGAAGTTTCTAGACCAATTCTAGAAAAAAATTAAGTTTCTAAATTAAAGCAATAACATGTCAAAAATTAGTGAAACCAAACATTAAATTTAGAAATTAAGTAAAGGCTCAAAATTTGATTTTTATTCACCGATCTTGGGAACGTGATAAATGCTGGTTTTAGGACTGATGAGAAACAAACTTTATCACGTAGATGAAAGAGGCAGGAGATGAGACTGCCGATGTGAAAGGTGCGGGGATCATGTGTGTAGATAATAAGTAATATATTCTCTAATTTTTAACATACTGCATAATATATTTATTATAAAATTATTATTTTTTTATTAAAAATTAAAAATAAATAAACTTAAAAGTGCAATCATTTATATCATACATAAAAAATTAACTGAATCAATTATATTTATATTATATTTAGTAATTAAACCAAACAAGTACCGAAAAATTTGTTGAATTAGATAATATACCAATCATTTTCCATCGTAGATAGACTAGAACAGTAGCACTAAATTGACTAGAGAAAATTGGAATATCGTGATGGATACACGTCGCAATTGCGATCTGAATTCTCATCTGTCTTTAGAATTTGGACCACCCACTTGCAATTGTCTTCTTCAATCATCAGGCTATCCCTCACTCTCCACATGTCTTGGGATCCCAAAAGTGATTAACATCCCCCACATCACCTGCATTTCGTCTTTCCCAATTCAAGTGTTTTGTTCATAGCGTTGGTCCAATCAAAAGGAAATTCATTCACTAGGTGGAGTAGGCGATTCTCAAAAAACTACCTTATATTCTCTCATTCTAAGAGATGGTCACCAAGACTCCCTAATTACCAAACAAGAGTAACTCCTTGGACTTGGTAATATTTTCTTTGCATACTAGTACATGTATCATTTAATTTAACACATTTTATAACACACTCATTGAAAAATTATTATCTTCTAATTTGGAATTAATGGTGAAAAAACTTAAACATGCGCCCATGTATACGATATGATAGAACCAATTGAATCAACTAGATGCCGATATGTGTATTGAACTAGAGAGTATCCAAACCATTGCCTTTTGTTTTAAGCTATGATTTATGTTAGAGTTGCATTCGCAATTTTGATTCCCTAATTCATATTTTTTTGGATTGATCATGCCTCTAGCCACCTCAAATTATAAGTCATTCTTCAAGCAATAACAAACTTTGAATCATGCTTCAAATCACCCCTATTACATTCCTTAAGCTACCCTGAAACCTATTGGGTCAATTTATTAAGCCACCCAAGATCCCATGTCATGTTTCAAGCCACCTCATGCTCTTGGTCATTGCCTTGAGCCACCCCAAGTCTTGCGCTAGGCATCCTCAAACCCCAACTCATGCATTGTGTCGTGTAGAACCTAAGTCAAATGTTGAGCTACCTTGAATGCCAAGTCTTGCACTAACTTGTCCCAAACATATATAGCCACATCTTGAATTGCCCTAACATGACTCAAGGTCAAGGGTGGCTTGGATGTTACTTGGGGTTGGGGTAACTTTGATACATGACTCTCGGTGTACCAGATTTAGTCTAGGGTGGCCTAAAGGCAACTTGTATAGTGGGACATTGGGTACAACGCAACTGAATGTCCATTAGATACGACACAAGGTGGCTTGGTGAGTGACTTAGGATCCATGATGGATCAGCCAGTACGTGAGACAAGGTCCATGACAACTTGGTACATGACATGATATCCAAGATAGTTTAGTGTGTAGCCAGAGATCTGAAGCTCATCATGTGACTTGAGTTTTGCGATGGGTTAGGGTGTGACCAAAGGTTATGGTGACTCAACATGTAACTTAGGGTGTAAGGGCTCATTGAGGGGCACTTTATAAAGAGGAAATATTCAATTCAATTATACATTTTATACCAAACCTACATTGTGGCATAGTTCCATAAACTATGCCAAACATATGAATTCATTTTTGAATTTATAAATTTCAAATAAAAAATGTACCAAAAAAATAAATTTCAAATAATTCCCTAAGTGGATTTATTTATTAAAAATGAAATGAAATTTTATTTTTATTTAAATCAAACAAACTCAAAATTTTTAAATAAAATAATTCATTTACAACTAAGGTTCTATTTAGTATAATTGGTTTTTTTTTTTTAATCAACCTCCCATCACTATGATTGTGGTTTTTTGTTTTTTGTTTTAGCTTTTAAAAATCTCGAAATCCTAGATTAACAAGTTTTATAAATTAATTAAGTTTTTATTTTTAAGTGTTAGTTTCACAAATTTATACTCAATAAGTTGGTATTTTTAATTTTTAATTTTAGTTTTTAATTATCAATTTTGATTATTTAAATTTTGACAAATAATTAAAATCAAAAATCAAAAACCATAAGCCTAAGTTTTTTTTTTTTTTTAATTGAATTCATTTGAAAAAAAAAATGAATTCTCTAATTCATTTGCATACCAACCTCACCTTTTAAAACATTTCTAATTCCATATGTGGCTTTGCATCTTTTCCTTGAAAACTTGAGAATGGCATGCAACCCATGTTGTTCCTTGTAGAAGAAAAATAAAGAATAAAATAAAGAAAAGATTAGTAAAAATAATTAATTAAAGATGAAAAAGTGAAAAGTAAAATAATGTTACCAAAAGTATAAGGGACTTAAATTGAGGTGTATATAACATAAAGGCTAGGAGATGATGAAAGTATGTGGCAAATCATCATAATATTAGAGTATCGTAAGTATATATACAAGTTACAATAAAACCCTAACTATAAATATAAGGACATAACTTTACAAATATTACATATTTACTTCTTTATGCCCCCACAAGATGAAGGATCCATTGGAGACTCCAATCTTGGTACGGAGCAATAGGAAACGAGAAGAAGGAATTGATTTGGTTAAACCATCAACAAGTTGGTCACAAGAAGAAATGTGAGAAACTCGTAGAACTTTCTTCTCAATGAGGTCACAAACAAAATGAATATCAATAGCTATATGCTTCATTTTGGAGTGCATGTCTAGATTGGAACTAAGATATGTAGCTCCAATATTGTCACAATAAAGCGCAGGAGGATTAGAGAAGGTAACACCCAGTTCAAAAAGTAAGTGTCGAACCCATGTGAGTTCACAAGAAGCAGCTGCCAAGGCACGATACTCGGCTTCTATGGAGGAACAAGCAACAACTTGTTGTTTGCAAGATCTCCAAGAGATGGGATTAGCTCCAAGATAAGTTATATCACTTGCAGTAGAAATCAAAGAATCTTTATCACCAACCCAATCTACATCAAAAAAACCATGTAAGGAGAAAGATTGCTGCTTTCGAAGAAACAAACCATGGTAAATAGTCCCTTTCAAATAACATAAAAGTCACTTAACTCTTTGCCAATGTTGAACAGTGGGTCTGTGCATGAATTGACAAAATTTATTCATAGCAAAATTGATATCTAGTCTAGTAATGGACAAATACTGCGAAGAACCCATAACTTTTCGGTAAGTTGTGGTATCAATAGTTTTTGTACCATCATCAAGGTGAAACTGAGTAGAGGAAGAAAGTGGAGTGGTAACCAACTTGGTGTCCAACATGCCAGTATGTTCAAGCAAATCATGTATATATTTATGCTGAGTCAAAAAAAGATTTACAGTGGTAGAGATAGCCTCAACACCAAGGAAATAATGAAGGAGTGCAAGAGCTTGAATAAAGAACTGAGCAACCAATGTAGAGATAACATCGAAAATAGCAAAGTCCTTACTACCAGTGATAAGTATATCATCCACATAAACCAGAAAATAAACCCAGACACCATCTTTGCAATAAAAAAATACAGAGGAATTAGACTTTGAGTTCTGAAACCCATAAGAGAGTAGAAACTTGCATAGTTCTAGAAACCAAGCTTGAGGTGTATGTTTAAAACTGTAAAGAGATTTTTGAAGTCGACAAACATGGTAAGGATAATTATCATGTATAAATCTAGGAGGCTAAACCATGTGTAAATCCTCTTTAAGAGTACCATGGCAAAATGCATTATTCACGTCAAGTTGCCAAATAGACCATCCTTTGCTCAAAGTAATGAAAAGAACAACTCAAATAATAATAGGTTTTACAACAGGACTAAAGGTATTGAAACAAGTCTAACCTAGACCTTGATGAAACCCTTTAGCAACTAAACAAGCTTTATAGCATTCTATTTGGTATCAACATCAAGCTTAATTCTGAAAATCCACGTGCAACCAATAAGATTAAAATTTGGATTAAAAGGCACTAATTCTCACGTACCTTGGCTTATCAAGGCATTAAACTCATCAAACATAGCATGTCACCAATTGGGATCTTTCAGGGCTTAAGTAACACATGTGGGCTCACGTGAAGGGTCAATGGTGTGTGTAGAGGTAAGGAAAAGTTGCTTTGGTTTAAATACATTATTTTGAGACTAATTAACCATGGGATGAGTTCAGGTGGTGACTTTTGTGAAGCGGAGGTGGAGTGATCAAGACCATTTGGTGACGTCGTAGAGACAATACTAACACTTGGAATAGAATCAGCATTAAAAACCAAAGGCAAGGAAGGAAGAGACAAACCTAATTCAGAAGCTGAGGACGAGCTTGTGCCCAAAGATGGCAAGGATAAGGAGGTTGGAGAAGGCGCTACACTAGGAGCAATATCCATTAAGCGAAGACCAATATGAGGTGATGATGAAGCAATTGGCACCATTGATTAGCTTGTGTGAGTAGGCAACACATCAGATTGAAGAATATTAACCAAAGGTCCATTATCAAGCCATGCATTGAGACTTGAATTCAACTTAGAAGAATTTAAAAATGATGAAGAGCTTGTGAAGGAGAAGGAAGATACAGGGAAATTACTTTCATCGAATCTAACATGTCTTGAAATATAGAGTTTGTTATTTTCTAAATCAAAACATTTATAGGCATTTTGGTCCACCAAATAATCAAGAAAAACACATCAGTGAGAACGTAGTTCTAATTTATGATTATTAAAAAGACACAACCATGGGTAAAATGCACAACCAAAAACACACAGCTTCTTATAATTAGTGGGCAGATTAAATAAAACTTCAAATGGGGAGATAAAGGGATTAGCAGAACAAGGAAGTCTATTAATTAAATTGACTGCAATGGAAAAAGCATATGACCAATATTGTAAAGATAAATAAGTGGAGAAGAGCAAGGTAAGACCTATCTCAACAATATGATAATTATAGCACTCACTAATACCATTAATTTTAGGTGTATATGGTGGTGTCCGAAAATGAGAAATTCCATGATTAGAAAAAACTTTGTTTTAAAGCAATATATTCACTACCACCATCAGAATAAACATTCAATATTTTTCATTGAAATTGATTTTCAACTAACAATTTAAATTTTGGAAAAATTAGAGACACGTCAGATTTATGAGACATGGGAAACAACCAAATATACTGACTATACAAGTCAACAAAGATAACAAAGTAGCAGTAGCCATCATAGAAGGTTATGGGGGCTGGACCTTAAACATCAGTATAGAGAAAATCAAGAGGACCACTAGCCTATATTGTTGACAAATGAAAAGGTAACTTGTGACTCTTAAAATAAAGACAGGGTTCACAAGTCTTAAAATTTGTACTTCTGGAAAGAGGTAAATGAAAATTTCTAACAACTTTATGTAAAATGTGTAGGGAAAGATGACCTAGTTGCAAGTGCCAATCTAATATAATTGCCCGTTCACCAAGAAAGGCTTAAGGTTGAGGTCTTGAAGCCCATGTCAATATGGGGACCTGATACACACCAACTTTATTCAATCCGGGCATTAGAGTTGCCCTGTGCAACGATCCTTCATAATGAAATAGGTTGAGTGAAATTCAATGAAGACATTATTAATCTCACAAAATTTAGAAACAAATATTAAATTATAGGAAACAGATGGGATGCAAAGAACATTAGATAATAAAAGGAGGAATTAGGAGTAGAAATTTGGGTTTCACCCACATGAGTTATTCTCAATCCTGAACCATCACCAATTAGCAATTCATAAGGACCATCATATTGAGAGTAAAGTGAGAGATTTGCCAGGTTTGAAGTAATATGATGCAAAGCTCTAGAGTCCAAAATCCATTCTTGATTGGAAGCTGTAAAGGAGGCAACTGAATGAACAACCAATACTGGTGGTATCACTATAAATTTGCATAATCGAGCCGTGTGGCAAATGGCCAACAAAATTGACACTTTCCAGGAAACTTTTCACGAGAAAGATTGTTGCTGCCAATATAACCCTGACAATTAGTAGCATCATCCTAAGCAAGAACCCCAAAGCCAACATTAAAGGCACTAGGAGAGGAAGAATTCTGTCCAACGGAACAAGTGACTGCACCTCGACTTTCTTGAAAATTAGGAACAGATATATTAGAAGGAGAGGAAGCACCTGTGATGCTTGTAGAAGATGTTGCCA